CAAGACGAGGGCATAGAGATGCACTTCACAGTTAGTCATACACCGTAGCAGAATGGGGGTGACAGAGAGGTTAAATCGGTCTTTAGTAGATAAGGTCCGATATTTATTATCACAGAGTGGTTTGGAGAATATCTTTTGGGCTGAGGCACTATCATATGCGAGCCACCTCATTAACAGGCTGCCTTCATCTACGATTGAGGGGAAGACTCTTATGGAGATGTGGTCGGGAGAGCCAACACACGATTATGACCAGCTCAAGGTATTTGGGTGCCATGTATTTTATTATGTGAGAACAAATAAATTAGAACCTCGAGCTAGAAATATCATATTTGTAGGATTCAAGTGTGGTGTTAAGGGATACAAACTATGAGATCCAGTTGATAGGAAAATTATGCTAAGTAAAGACGTCATGTTCGATGAGGCTTCTATCTTGAAGCTTCCAGCTCTCATCAGGTGGAGAGCGACCCGATAGAGGAGATATTATAGGTGGTGGAGATTGATGCATCTCCATATTGTCCAAATGGTATAGTATCTATTAGAGTACTGACTGAGGTGATGCCAGACAAGCACGATGACGATGAAGAGGATACAGGTACAAATGTGCAGGATCAAGGACCGACGGCTCAGGTTCAGGATTCTATTACGGTTTGGAGACAGATGAGAGACATACAGATACCAGCACGATATACCGACACATTAGTTATGTGTGCACTTCTGGTGGAGAGTATCGATAAGTTAGTGCCTCCTACTTTGAAATAGGCCAAACAGAGTTCGGAGGCTGATTTGTGGCAGGTAGCTATATAGGAGAAGATGAAGTCTCTTCACAAGAATGATACATAGGAGCTTATTGAGCTTCCAAAGGGGCAGAAGACGATTGGTTACAAGTGGGTATACACAAATAAAGAGGGAATTGAAGGCACTCCAGTGAGGTTCAAGGCTAGGTTGGTTGCAAAGGGTTATGCACAGGAGGAAGGTATTAATTATAACGAGGTTTTCTCTCCTGTAGTGAAGCACTCTTCGATTCGGATTTTGCTAGCTTTGGTGGCACAGTATGGTTTGGAGTTAGATCAATTGGATGTAAAGACGTTATTTCTACATTGTGATCTTGATAAAGAAATATATATGACTCATCCATTGTGATTCCGAGTTGCAGGAAAGGATAAGTTGGTTCGTAGGTTGAAGAAATCGATATACGGTTTGAAGCAATCTCTTTGACAGTGGTATAGACGATTTGATGGTTTCATGATTGGTTATTTGTACACTCAGAGTTAGTTTGATCCTTGCGTATATTTTTACAAGTTGAAAGGAGGTGTGTATATTTATTCGTTGTTTTATGTTGATAACATGTTAGTTGCTTCTATTTCCAGATCCGCTATAGATGGGTTGAAGATTCAGCTTTCAAAGAAGTTTGAGATGAAGGATTTAAGTGAGGCAAAGCACATTTTGGGGATGAAGATCAGCAGAGATAAAGAGAAGGATAGAATTTATTTCACACAAGTGGCTTATTTGAAGAAGGTTCTACAGCGGTAATGTTAGCATGGATACAAAACCAGTTAATGTACCTTTGGGAGACCATTTGAAGATTTCAGTTAACCTTTCATCAAAGACAGTTGAAGATCGAGAGTTAATGTCGAAGACTCTATATACGACCGCAGTTAGAAGCTTAATGTACGCGATGGTGTGTACGAGGTCGGATTGGTCACAGGCGGTGAGCATAGTTTCGAGATACATGCATGATCCAAGAGTAGATCATTGGGACACCGTGAGATGGATTTTGAGGTACATTCAAGGTACTTTCAATGTTGGTTTAGTTTTTGAGTAGGACACTAGAGGTGGGTAGTTGTGCATTGACTATGTTGCTTCAGATTATGCTGGAGATTTGAATATGCATCGGTCTACGATGGGGTATGTATTCACTTTGACCAGAGCGCTTGGAGATGCACCTTATAGTCTACGGTGGCTTTATCAATAACGGAAGCAGAGTATATGGTGATTACAGAGGCTGTGAAGGAGGCTATTTAGCTTCGGGGACTTTTGGAGGAACTTGGTGTTTCGCAGCGATTCGTTATTATTTATTATGATAGCATGAGTGCTATTTATTTGATGAAGAATCAGGTTTTTTATGCGAGGACGAAGCACATTGATGTTCGTTATCACTTCGTTCGAGATGTTCTTGAAGATGGCGATGTGGAGATTGTGAAGGTCCACACGAAGGATAATCCGGTGGATATGCTCACTAAGGTAGTTCCGAGCAATAAGTTTGATCATTGTCGAGACTTATTGCACATTCGAGATTGTTAAGGCCGTTGATGGCCATTTGGATGAACTATGAGCGGCTTGATACCTTGGGAGTGGCTAAAGGGTTTACACAAAGAGAGGGTGTGGATTACAATAAGATATTTTCTCCAGTGGTGAAACACACTTCTATTCGGGTGCTATTGAGTATTGTTGCTCATAGTGATCTTGAGTTAGAACAACTCGATGTAAAGACGACCTTCTTGCACAGAGACTTGGATGAAGAGATCTGCATGCATCAACCTGAGTGCTATAAGGTTGAGGATAAGGAGAATTATGTGTGTCACTTGAGAAAGTCACTCTATGGATTAAAGCAATCTCCTCGGCAGTTGTACAAGCGATTTGACTCCTTCATGCTAAAGCATGGGTTTTCCTGAAGCGATTATGATTGTTGTATTTACATTCGAAAGCTTCGTGGAGGTGATTGTATCTATCTTTTTTTATATGTGGATGACATGCTTATTGCTTCGAAGAGCAGGGTGGAGATAGATAGGCTAAAATCTCAACTTGGTAAAGAGTTTGAGATGAAGGACAGAGACGTTGCTAAGAAAATACTGGATATGGAGATTAGAAGAGAGCGGACAAATCGGCGATTGTTCTTGAGTCAGAAGGACTACATAGAACGGGTGATCGTAAGGTTTAGGATGCAAAGTGCAAAGTCGATGGTGACTCCATTGGCTCCACACTTCAGGCTTTTAGGTAAACAATCTTCCACTATAGTGGAAAATAAGACACACATGGAATGTGTTCCTTATGCTAGTACAGTTGGCAGTTTGATGTACGTCATGATGTGTACACTTTCAGATATTTCACAGGCGGTTAGTGTGGTCAGCAGGTTCATGGAGAATCTGGGAAAGGTGCACTAGGAAGCAGTGAAATAGGTCCTGAGGTACTTAAAAGTTCCGCGGATACGGGTCTGTGTTTTGGTAGAGATACATGTCAGATTGATGAGTTTGTTGACTATAATTATGCGGGCGATCTAGATAGACGGCTATCTGTTACTGGTTATGTATTCAGGATATATGGAGCTCTAGTTAATTGGCGATCAATGTTGCAGGCTACAGTGCCACTTTTTACTACAGACGCCAAGTACATTGTCATGGCAGAGGGAGTGAAAGAATCATTGTGGTTATAGGGTCTTCTAGACTATTTGGGGATTGAGTAGCAGAACGTGAACTTGTGGTGCGATAGTCAGAGTGGAATTCACTTGGCGAAGAATCAAGTTCATCATGCTCGTACGAAGCATATCGATGTCAGGTATCATTTTGTGCGGGATGTCATAGAGGAAGGTGATATTTCTCTCATGAAAGTGCATACGAATGAGAATCCTGCAGACATGTTAACCAATATGGTCACAGGTAACAAGTTTAAGCAATATTTGAACTTGCTTCATATCAGCCCGTGTTGATTTGCCCAAGAAGGCATGGCCCTTTGGGGCGGTGATAGGGTGAGGTGGAGACTACGATGGAGAACAATAGCAGAACTATGATTAGCTTGATTCAGGTGAAGGGTATGTAGGCAGCCGCGGTATAGTGGCGCAGCTGATATGATCTGGTTTGGCCTGGTTTGGCCAATGGAGATCTCTCTGGTGATGTTCGCGGTGTTCTTCTGGTATTCATCCATAATTTAAGGTTTATCAAATGATATACGAGGTGGAGAATTGTAAGTGGGGTTCAGGGCCACCCACGTGCCGCGTGAGCTTCTTTTTTAGCGTGTGAGGAGATAATCCAGCGCCCACGCGAGACAACGGGCTGAGTTCGGCGGGGCCCACCCGAGATCAAATCTCTATAAATACTCAACTTCCTTAGGGTTTCGTGTGGGGCTTACTCAGCTACAAAAGAAAAAAAAAAAGCAGAGACGTGAGGGTTGTTTACTCGGCAGAGGAGAAAACTCGGGTTTGTTTCTGGCGGCTAGAAAATAGATCTTGAGGAGAGAAAAGAGAGATTTTACAAAAGAGAGGTTAATTTCTTTAGGGTAAAAATCAGATCCCTTTTCTTTGAGACGAGCTTGTGGGTTGTACAAGTCGTCGGTGTTCTTCTCATAGTGGAATCTCCCCTCATCCCTCCCGTGGACGTAGGCAAGTTTGCCGAACTACGTAAATCTCGTGTATTTACTATTTTCTGGGTGTTGGCTATTGCTTGTAGGTTCCCTCGACAATTCAGTCCTAGAACTGATGAGAGGAAGAGTGTATATTTCACTTTGTTGAGATATTTAACTTTCTATTCTTGTTTCCTTTGAGAAACGGGAATATAGAGGTTGGTTTGTGCTTTCCTGACAACAAAAGTTGGTGCTATCTCTCAGATGATATCACTTCCGCGACGTGAGGGCATGACTCTTCGCCCAACAAATAATAATGAACAAATCTTAGGATCACCTGTGCAGTTACGATGAGTGATATCATGATCACCCATATAAATACGCAGATTTACCGTAGCTCAATGTAATTGAATGTAATTAATCCTTTCAATTTATTTCTCGTGATGTGGGAGAGAAGTAAATGATTTTCTCAAATTCCAGAACTATTCAATTAAGCTCTACTAGATTACGATACCAATTTTCTCTCTAACCCTTCGAACATACTTGTATCACATCGCATTGTTTATTAGCTCGTGGGTAACGTTACATTATTTTAGTCATCACATGTCATAGCCCATTTCAAGTCGTGGCTCCATTTTTTTTATTTTTTTTCCATTGCAACAGACTCCCAACACACACGAAAACCTCTGTTATAAATCTACCAAGCCTCACCCAAACTTCTTATTCAAATCACAAGGAAAGAAATTAACAATGGGATCCGATGCACCCTCGACCACCAAACTCCCCAAGATCGACTTCTCCGGCGTCGACACGGGTAGTCCGGGGGCCGGAGCGTGGTCCGTGGTCCGGGATGAAGTGATGGAGGCCTTGACAGCGTACGGATGCTTTGAGGCAGTGTACCCCAAGCTTAGTAGTGAGCTACGTAGCTCAGTCTTGGATAGTTTGATCAAGGATTTGTTTAGACTCCCGTTAGAGACTAAGCTTAGGAATTATTCGGACAAGCCCTTCTATGGTTATATTGGTCAGATTCCTAATTTGGCGTATGAGAGCCTCGGCATTATGAATGCTGAGGATCCTGAGGGAGCTCAGGCGTTTACAAGTATAATGTGGCCTGAGGGAAATCCCAACTTCAGGTATTCCTTCCCTAGCTTTTTTTTTTTTTGGAAATCTGAATATTTGCTAATTTATCGTTACCTTCTTTAATATTGAGTTGATATACCCCCTCTCAATTAACACCATTAAATTTTGAACTGCAGAAGGTGTTATGACAAATCCCTATGTTAAACTAATATCAATCACATGGAAGCACGAAAAATATCAAGAACACATGAACACAAAGATATACGTGATTCGACTTGTAGCCTAAGTCGATGTCCATGAGTGAAGGAGGAGAATGACTTTACTAAATTAAGAGGAATACTAAGTGGAATCTCTCAATCACTCAATCCCAAATAACACCCCAATAATCTCAATCAATCTCTCTCTCAATCTCTAATTAATTAGAGCAACAGAGAGCTACCGAAAAGCCAAATTATCTCTTGCGGCATCAAAGAGAACACTGTTCTCTGTTTTGATGTATTGATCTCGAAAATGTTCTCTGCTCTATTTATTCACAGCTACTCCGAAATATAAAGTTGCATAGAAATCCTTTTGTTACTTGAACTTGCTATCTCAACAAATTCCAAAAGCCTTTATCTCCCTTAGTTCTCATCCAATGAGAATTCGAATAATAACACACCCATGTGCATGGATTGCTATTTTGACATGGGAGCTAAGATGCTTTAGGATAGTATACCGATTTTAGAATTCTAATAACCAACAACTTAATATTAACTAATCCAAGCTTCGTACGACATTAATTAGCTACGCTAATAAGTCTCGGCCATTCAAGCAGGCCAATCAAAGAACTGGGTTCGAGATTAGTAATTTGAGTCACAATATAACATAAGGATTAAAATTGATGATGAATGTACCCCCTGTCCCTTCAAAAATATTTTTTAGGTTATATACACAAATCTGCTCATTGTCAATTCAACACCATGAATTTTAGCCGTCTTAAACAGCAGGGGGTATAAATTTCCTATAATATGCATATTTGGAGGGCAAATCTATAAGAAGGATACAACTGGAGCATATAGGCAAAAGAGTAGTGACGAGTATTGTACTACAAAACTAATACTACTTTTGTCCTCCTGTAAACAAAAAAATTAGAGCCCATAATGACTCATAATTTTTCTTGGTAATTTCTGAGAAAGAACCCTACACATTTGTTAGTGATAGTACAATAATAGTATAAACTTGTAGCACAATTATTATTTTTCTATAGGCAAAAACCTCTTTTTTGGTTCAACTGCATGGGATAGCTTCACTTCATCTTTAGTACCATTTATTAGAAAACCTCTTTTTTGGTTCAACTGCAAGGGGTAGCTTCACTTCATCTTTAGTACCATTTATTAGCGCTCAACTAGTTTATTAGCATTTATTATCTCTTAATTCGGTAGGACGAGGAAATTACCTATTTTTATCCTTAAAAAATGCCAACCTCAAGGAGGATCGTAAGTGCTAATATATAAGCTAAGAGAAGAAAAGTACTACTGAATATATAATTAACAACGGACTTTTAGGCCAAATTTTGGTTATAAAGCGTTTCAGAGATGACCCACCCCCTATCCTGATTTATAATTAAACCAATTTCAAACTAAACCGGTTTATCTCTGCTTTGCTAAACTGATCACAAGTTTTCGCTTGGATTGCATTTTTTTAATCAAGCAAGCATTGTGTGGCTATGCTCTTCCAGGTAACAACTCCAAGCAACATCTCTAGTTGGTGGTTAGATACAAATGCTACTTGTCATGTATGCTCCAATAGAGATATGTTCTCTTCTTATGTTACTACCAAATAGAACGTATCAATGGCTAATCGCTCTGTGGTTCCTGTTCTTGGAACTGGGACTGTGGTGTCGACTCTTTCTTCACGAAAGACTCTCACATTGAATGATGTGAAACACGTTTCCTCAATTGCTAAAAACTTAGTCTCTGGAAGTATGCTGTGTGATGCAGGCATGAGGCTGAATTTCTAGGGAGGAAAGGTTGTATTATCTTTCAAGAAAATATATTTTCGTAATGAATATCGTACTGATGGCATGTATAAAATCAGTACGAGTGCACCCAACCCTATTGTAAATAAAGTATCATCTTCTGCTTACTCCTCTGTATTATGACACAATAGGTTGGGACATATAAATTATAGAAAATTATCCAGCATGGAGAAGTTAGGATTACTTCCAAAATATAGAGGTAATAAACCTGAGAAGTGTGAAGTTTGCACGCAAGCAAAGCTGACGAGGAAGCCATTTTCAAGTGTCACGAGGAGCACCAAACTGTTGGATCTGATTCATTCAGATACTTGTGACTTCAAGAGCTTAGTCACTCGTGGCTGCAAAAAGTACTTCGTCACCTTCATTGATGACCATTCTCACTTCTACCATGTTTACCTGCTAAAATCTAAAGATGAAGCATTTAGCAAATTTGTCGAGTTTCAGACTCGAGTGGAGAAGCAGCTTGGACTGCAGGTGAAAAGACTCAGGAGCAATAAAGGAGGAGAATACCGATCTAAGGAGACGGAAGCATACTTCAAGGAGCATGGAATCATTGCTGAAACTACTGTCACGTATTCTCCGCAATTTAATAGGATTGCAGAAAGGAAGAATCGTACATTGACCGAGATGGCGATGCTAATCACATCTGGTTTACCTACCTGCTATTGGGGATGGGCTTTACTAATGGCAAACTGGATTCTAAACAGAGTACCCTATTCCAAAACTGATAATACTCCTCATCAGTTATGGTTGGGATATCTAGATTCTTTGAATAATCTCAAAGTGTGGGGGTGTCTCGCATATGTTCGAATTCCAAATATTAGAAGGCCTAAACTTGGGCCAAAGACAAACAAGTGTGTGTTTCTTAGCTTTGCTGGAGATAGCAATGCGTGTAGGTTTTTGGACCTTAGAACCAACTCCATCATTGAAGCTCGGGATGCAGAATTCTTTGAGGATAAGTTTATCAAACATAAAGGCTTATTGCTCAAAGATGTAGCAGAGAATGCTAGTACATCATATGCATAAGAGGAGCCAGTCAATGATAAAGGAGTTATCAAACCATTTTCCAAGCGCGTCAGAAGACAGAAAGATTTTGGAGATGACTTCATCACCTATAATGTGGAAGGAGATCCACAGACTTTTTAAGAAGCAATGCAGTCAACAGACTTTCTTCTGTGGAAAGAAACTACAGATGGTGAGATGGATTCATTGATCTAAAATCACACTTGGGAGTTGGTGGATGTACCTGAAGGTGCAAGGCCTATCAGTTACAAGTGGATCTTCAAGAAGAAGCTCCGTCCTGATGGTACTATTGAAAAGTACAAAGCAAGACTGGTGGCAAAAGGATTCTCTTAGAAAGAATGTATAGATTTCTTTGATATCTATACACCGGTTTGAAGGATCACTACCATCAGAGGGCTTATCGCATGGACGGCGATTAAAAGGTTCGTCATACATCAGATGGATGTGAAGACTGCCTTTCTTAATGGAGATCTCACAGAAGAAATCTACATGGAGAAACCAGAAGGACTTGATGCTCCACCTAGTAAGGTTTGTAAACTTGTTAAGTCATTATATGGACTTAAGCAGGCACCAAAACTCTAACATGAGAAGTTCGATGGCGTTGTTCATAATAATGGGTATCAAGTCAGTGAATCTGACAAGTGCCTATACATCAAGGTCACTGAAGGAAAGGTGGTGGTCATTTGCCTCTACGTGGATGATATGCTCATCATTGGGAGTGATTTGGAGATAGTAATATCTACTAAAAAATTTCTTTCAGTATAGTTTAGCATGAAGGACCTTGAAACTACGAACATGATTCTCGGAATCAAAATCATATACTCTGAAGAGGGTATTGGATTGTCCCAATGTTATTATGTCGAGAGCATGCTAAGAAAGTATGGCTACAACGACTTGTCAAAACTATCAGTACCATACGATTACAACAAGAAGCTTCGACCGAACACTGGAAGACCAGTAGAGAAGCTAAGGTACTCAAAGATGATTGGGAGTCTTATGTACATGATGAGCTGCACAAGACCAGATATAGCATTCGCTATAGGAATGCTTAGTAGGTTCACAAGTAATCCTGGAAAAATTCATTGGGATGCTATCCAGAGATTGATGAGATACTTGAAAGAAACTACAGGTCTGGGCCTATTCTATAATGGATATTCAGGTATAATCGAAGGCTATTCAGATGCGAGCTGATGCTCAGAACCAGATGAGTGCAAGTCTACTGGAGGTTTTGTCTTCACTATTGGTGGAGCTACAGTCTCGTGGAAGTCAAAGAAGCAGACCATGATTGCACAGTCATCAATAGAATCTGAGTTCTTCTCACTCTGTGCTGCTGGAGATGAAGTTGAATGGCTCAGTTGTTTTCTCTGAGACCTTCCATTGATGAAATTACAATGCGTAATTACTATCTATTGTGATAATTAAGCGACGAGTGCTGTGGCAGCGAACTCGTTGTTCAATGGAAAGAAGCGGACCATTCGTCTGAAGCATGGCTATTTGAGAGAGCTCATTTGTCAAGGAGTCATCTCTGTGATTGACGTCCGATCTTCAGAAAATATGGCTGATCCTTTGCCTAAGGGTCTGAAAAAGGACATAGTCGAAAGGACGTCTGTTGGAATGGGTCTCAAAGTTTTGTAAGTCTTACAAATACTTACCATGTTTATTAAATTATTAGTTCAAAGCTTATGCTACTAATAATAAGATAATTGGTTCAAAAGTCAGTAAGATTTGTAAAAGTTGGTAGTCTTACAAATACTTACCATTTATATCAAGTTATTAGTTCAAAGCTTATGCTACTAATAACAAGATAAATGGTTCAAGGTTTGGGGGCTGCGTAACGCGCTCCGCAAGGAACGAGATACTTAATTAATCTTTGATCAACCTCTAATACTATCCTTACCTGGCTGAACTACCCAAGTAAAACTTTGATCTTTTCACCTAGAATCCTATCATGTAAAGGGGATGGCTGTTAAGCCTTAATGGGTCCAAAGCATTTCGGATACGGGTGTTAGATAGGAAACACACCTAAAGGACTCACCTAGAATTCTATCATAGGAGAGGGTAGCTCTTAAGCCTTAATGAGTTTAAAGCATTTCGGATGCGGGATGTTTGATAGGAAACATGCCTAAAGAACTCACATATGCATGGGTGGAGATTTGACCGTCTCCTATGGTGTCTTGTGAAAAGATACCTAGAGCCCTAGCAGAAACCAGAATATGCACAGGGTCATAAATGTGCAAAGGCAAAGGCAAAGGCAAAGATAAAGGCAAATGTAGTTCTAAGTGAAAACTACCACAGATAGGTTTGATCTTGTGTGATTGTTGTATTTTTAGACATGTGCCGGTTCAAGTCTCTGCGACACCATACATCTATTTTTTATTCAGTTGGTCAAAAGGGGATTCAAGTCCTTGCGACATTTTCCTTATGCACAATGATTGAAACGACGACACCGTTACACGACACTAGTTTAAAAACTTGTGAGGGATTGTTAGATATTAGTTTTTAATAAACAAACATCAGCCCATGTTCTCATTAATTGTCAAAAGAGTTAGGCAAATGTGAAAAATATAAAAAGTGGTGGGCCCCACTAAAGAAAAATAAGAGTGTGGGCCCCACATACATAGTAAAGTAATAATATTTTATTACTAAATTGTATTTTTTCAAACACTATTAATAGACCCCAAATCTTTAAGAAAAATTTATTTCAAAAACAACAATCAATATATACAGATATATATGTTCTAGAATAGCTAGTGCTCGTAGGAACAGTGTCTAGACCGAGAAGGTCTTATAGATCGAGGAGATCTTTGCCTGATAGATCGAGAAGATCTTTGTCTGATAGATCAAGGGGATCTTTGCCTTATAGATGATCGATGAGATATTGACAGTACTGGGTCGGTGCATACCAGAGTACTGGACTGCTGTTCCTTGAAGCAATTTGGCCTTGGGATCCTTGCACCGGAGTAGGTCAAATAATACTTTAAGCACATCGTTTTACAAACGCACAACAGCTGAGTTGAAAAATTTTAAATTACCGCACTTCAGTTTTCTATTCAGTTTTAGCTGTAATATATCTGTATTATTCCAGATTTAACCACATGCGCCAACAAATGTACCCCCTGTCCCTTCAAAAATATATTTTAGGTTATATACACAAATCTGCTCATTGTCAATTCAACACCATGAATTTTAGCCGTCTTAAACAGCAGGGGGTATAAATTTCCTATAATATGCATATTTGGAGGGCAAATCTATAAGAGGGATACAACTGGAGCATATAGGCAAAAGAGTAGTGACGAGTATTGTACTACAAAACTAATACTACTTTTGTCCTCCTGTAAACAAAAAAATTAGAGCCCATAATGACTCATAATTTTTCTTGGTAATTTCTGAGAAAGAACCCTACACATTTGTTAGTGATAGTACAATAATAGTATAAACTTGTAGCACAATTATTATTTTTCTATAGGCAAAAACCTCTTTTTTGGTTCAACTGCATGGGATAGCTTCACTTCATCTTTAGTACCATTTATTAGAAAACCTCTTTTTTGGTTCAACTGCAAGGGGTAGCTTCACTTCATCTTTAGTACCATTTATTAGCGCTCAACTAGTTTATTAGCATTTATTATCTCTTAATTCGGTAGGACGAGGAAATTACCTATTTTTATCCTTAAAAAATGCCAACCTCAAGGAGGATCGTAAGTGCTAATATATAAGCTAAGAGAAGAAAAGTACTACTGAATATATAATTAACAACGGACTTTTAGGCCAAATTTTGGTTATAAAGCGTTTCAGAGATGACCCACCCCCTATCCTGATTTATAATTAAACCAATTTCAAACTAAACCGGTTTATCTCTGCTTTGCTAAACTGATCACAAGTTTTCGCTTGGATTGCATTTTTTTAATCAAGCAAGCATGCATAACCCATACGTACACATCAACATTTTTTTTTTGCCATTGCTTTCTATAAGTTAAATCATGTTTCATTAGAGAAAAACTAATATTACATTTTTAATTTTGTGTATTCCTATTCGACAGTGAGACAGTGCACGCTTACTCAAAACGGTTAGCGGAGTTAGACCAAGCGGTGATAAAGATGGTGTTTGAGAGTATGAAAGTGGAGAAATACTACGATTCACAAATGAACTTGCACAAATACTTGCTCAAAGTTTCAGAGTATGGTCCTCCGGGCGAGGAGGAGGAGAAGAAGCTTGGCTTGAATCCTCATCGCGACAAAAACACAACATCCATAATTTGCCAAAATCAGGTGGATGGGCTTGAAATAGAGACGGAGGATGGGGAATGGTATCCTGCGGTGCCTTCACCTAACTCTGTCATTGTTATCGCTGGTGATGCCCTTCGGGTATGGATCTTTTGCACCTTTTCTAAGAGAGAGTATTAAATGGTCTCTTGTCCATAGCATTTAATGTGCCCCAAATGAATGTCAATTGTTGGATCGTTGGATCTTGATATTCGTGCATGGATCCAATGACTAACATATATTTGGTGAACATTAAGACTGTAAGTGTCATAGATCTTGTCTACAATATACTTTCTCTTTTTTTAATACAAATAGGATTAATTGAAGAAGTTAATCTATTTTTTTAATTCAGATTTATTAATATTTTTTCTGACTCTTTTACCAATCTCAATATCATAAGTTTCTAACTAGTGTGTTGGAGATAGATGTGCAGCACTGAACTCGTTAACATCAGTACTGCAGCCCCTATTCAACCTATCGTATTATTATGTTAGGGAAAAAAATAGAATATTATTTAAAGTAGTAGTAACATGATAGATATGCACTGTCAACTTATTTAGCAAGAGATGTCAGAAGATGGGAGTAGTGAAATTCACTTACAGGACTAACAAATTTGAGTCTTATTGCTAGCATGGTATATCTTTTGGTAGCCTAATTAGTAAAATGAGTTGAAACAAGCTAGCTACTATTAATTAATAATATTCAACATTTGAGTACTATCAGCCCAAATTAAAATATTGGATTCCAAAATTGAAAATCCAAACTATTAGATGTGATCTGATATAGATCAACCATTCAGGAATAAAATTTGGAAAAATCTCAACATGGTTTGCCCATGCATCTATCATGTGTTATAAAAATTAATGTTTCAAATTTCTTATAAAGTTGCTTAATATTTAGGCCCCTGATACATGATACCTTTTGAGATTTTGTTTGCAGGCAGGTCATATATTAACGATTTGTTTCATGATAAATTAATTTGGAAATAGGCATGGACCAACGGCCGAGTGTACTCCCCGATGCACCGTGTAGTGATGGGCGGCAGCGTGATGAGGTACTCCTCAATCCTCTTCTCCATCCCCAACGACGATGTCGTGATCCAAGCCCCGCCTGAGCTCATCGACGCTGACCACCCGCCGCTCTTCAAGCCTTACGACTTCGGCAGCTACGTACGCTACTGCTTCACTGAGGAGGGCCAGAAAGCAAACCCTCAGCTTGATGCTTTCTGTGGTTTGAGCAAGCAACAGGAGGCTTAATTACGTGTGAAGTCTTTCTTTGGTCGAAACCTCTATCTATGTTAGAAGTTGTATCGGCTATATTTTATTATACTAGTGACGTTTAAGGCTTCGGTTCAGTGTGTTTATGTTTAATTTGTATTCTGTAAGAAATTTCAACTCTTAAACAATTAATAAACAATAAGTGGATTCTTAATTGTTTTAATGTAAGAATTAAACCCAGTTAGACTGTTTCAATTATGTGTTGGTTATCTTTTTTTTGCGAATGGGTAGCAGACTGATTCACAATTCATCTTTAAAAAGCACCAAAAACTAAAACGCTGGTTATTTTAATTGATTTTCGATAGAGAAAAAGATAGCACTATTGAACTTCCATTCTATTTAATGCCTTTTTAAAATAGTTTGCATCTTTTTGTTTGCCCAAATGCATTATATATACACAACCATTATAACTCATCTCTACGCATTGTTTATACCATATGCAATATTATTGTTAATTTGTTGGTAATTGTTAGTCTAAAGTATAGACCCAAAGTTGAAGCCGAAGCTGGCATCAAAAAGACGAAGAAAAAATCGAGAAAATAGGAGGTCTGCGGCGGTCGATCGCGAACATGCATAGGAGCTCAGGAGGAGCTGGATCCGAAGGCGGTCGACCGCGACGGTCAACCGCACAAATCTCTGTAATTGGTTTTGGTCTCAAGTTTTGGTTCGGTCGACCACCGCGGTCGACCGCGATACCTGCGCAGTCGACCGTCATGGTCGACCGCGACGCAGTGAGCCAGTTTCCTTATCTGTTTTGGATTATGTTTCTTCCATGACTCTATATATACCTAAACTTTTTTAGGGCTTGATAAGAACACGAAAAAAAGAGCTTTTGACTGTAGAAAAGAGAGAGAATCTCAAAGAGATAAAACCCTAGTTTGAGAGCTTGTATTTCTTCTTCAATTAATAAAAGAATTATGTGGTGTGGCTCCCGAGGACGTAGGCACGTTTGCCGAACCTCGTTAAATCTGGTATGTTCATCTCCTTTACTTTTTTACAAGTTTTGATCAAATTTGTGGTGAATTTCCTACTTTTCTACTTTCAACACAAGGTCCGGAAGGGCAATGGTTCGATTGATTGTTTCGAATCCCCAACAACTAGTATCAGAGATTCGTTCAGCAATTTGTGTGAAAGCCATGACAGAGGAAAACAAATCAAAGATCGAGAAGTTTGACGGTTCAGACTTCGCCTACTGAAAATCGCAGATGGAGGACTATCTGTATCAGAAGGACTTGTATCGCCCGTTGATGGGCAAGGAGAAGGGACAGAAGAAAGAGGAGTCAGATGGTGATTGGGAGATACTGGATAGGAAGGCTCTAGGAAAAATCCAATTGTCACTCGCCAAATCAGTAGCCCACAACATATTAAAGGAGAAGACGACGGTGGGGCTTATGGAAGCACTCGCGAAGATGTACGAGCAACAGTCGGCAGCAAACAATGTACATCTCGTCAAAACTCTTTTCAACCTCAAGATGGCAGAAGGATGGTCCTTCACGATGTACCTCAGTGAGTTCAACATGATTGTTGATCAGCTTATCTCCGTAGACATCACGTTTGATGATGAAGTACAGGCCCTATTGTTACTATTGTAGTTGGCGGATAGTTGGGCAGGTTGTATGACGGCAATCAGCAATTCGACGGGGAAGGAAAAGTTGAAGCTGAGTGAGGTGGTTAGTATGATTCTATTCGAGGAGGTTAGAAGGAAATCGTCCGAATCAGAAGATTCATGTTCAGCTCTAAGTTTCGAGCAGAGAGTCAGAAGCCAGAAGAAAGGAAACCAGAACAGGAATCGGTCGAAATCAGTAAAGAAGAGGTCAAACTCAAAGGTTAGGCCTATCAAAGAGAAGTGTTGAAACTGCGGCCATGAGGGCCATATGTCTTCAGTCTGCAAGAGTCCAAAGAAGTATGCGGATGAGCAGGAGGATCATATCATGCAGGATGCCTTGATCCTTGCTATGGATAGCGACTCGGATTCTTAGGATATTGACTCAGGAGCCTCTTTCCACGTCACTGCTAACAGGAAGCTTCTCCAGAACTATGTAGCAGGGAACTTTAAAAAAGTGTATTTGGGGAATAACGAGCCATGTAATATTGTTGGAAAGGGTGAAGTGCAGATCAGATGAAGAGCTCTAAGTGGACCTTGAAGAACGTGAGACACGTGCCGAAGCTGAAGTGGAATCTTGTTTCAGTGGGACAGCTTGGAGCAGAAGGCTATGTTTCCATATTCACAGGGGATTCATGGAGAATCTCCAACGGTACGATGATAGTTGCTCGATGCAACAAACTCGGGACTCTCTACCTCACCTTACATGTGAGTGACACCCTCGCAATTACAGCTGATAGAAAGAGTACAGATCTGTAGCACAACAGGCTAGGGCACATGAGCGAGAAGGGGATGAAAATCTTACATTCACAAGGAAAACTAACCGGAATCGACTCCGTGGAAGTCAAGGTTTGTGAAGACTGCATCTTTGGAAAGCAGAAGAGGGTTAGTTTTTTCAGAAGGGTGGAAGACCACCTAAGGCTCAGAAGCTAGAGTTGATTCATACAGATGTATGGGGTCCAGCCAGTGTGTCTTCTTTTGGCTGTTCGACATATTATGTCACCTTCATCGATGATCACTCGAGGAATGTATGGATCTACTTCATGAAGCATAAGTCAGAGGTGTTTGGAATCTTCAAGAAGTGGAAGGCCATGGTGGAGAACGAGACAGATCTGAAGGTGAAATATCTGAGATCAAACAATGATGGAGAATACGAGCTGGAGGAGTTTAAGAGGTTCTGTGCTATGAATGGTATTTGTTTAGAGAGGACTACTCCAGGGACACCGGAGCAGAACGACATTGAAGAGAGGATGAACAGAACCTTGACAGAGCGTGCCAGGAACATGCGATTACATGCAGATCTGCCTAAGACATTTTGGGCGGATGCGGTGCATACGACAACTTACCTTATTAATCACGGGCCATCAGTTCCATTAGATTTTGAGATTCCAGAAGAGGTTTGGAGTGGAAAAAAGATAAATCTCTCACACTTGCGGGTATTTAGTTATATGGCTTATGTTCATATCAGTGACCATGTCAGAGACAAGCTAGAAGCTAAGCCACAGAAGTGCATATTCATTGGATACGACATTGAAGAGTTCGGGTATCACCTTTGGGATGAGAAATTATAAGAAGATCATCAGAAGCAGGGACGTGATATTCAATGAGGAGGTGATGTACAAGAACAGGGAAGATGCTAAGGATAGCCAAAGCAGTGGGAGCAGCATTTCAGATACAGATGGATCTGAGTATATGGATATAGAGGAACTTCCAGATAAAGATGATGATGTTTGTTCTGACCACAGAACGGAGGAGGCTTCAGGTGCAGAAGAAACTACCCAGGGCATGGAGCATAGAAGGTCATCCAGGGTACCCAAACCAAATCCCAGATATCTTTCATCTCTTGACTACTTATTCTTAACAGATAGCGGTGAGCCGGAGTGCTATGAAGAGGCAATGCAAGTGAGTGAATCTTAGCAGTGGGAGCATGCGATGCAGGAGGAGATGGATTCTCTACTCACTAATGAGACATGAGAGTTCGTCCAGCTACCTGCATAGAAGAAGACCTTACATAATAAATGGGTCTACCGGGTTAAGAAAGAGAGTGATGGAAGTAAGAGATTCAAGGTCAGATTAGTAGTGAAGGGGTTTTAACAGCGGGAAGGAGTGGACTACACGAAGATATTTTTTTCCTGTTGTGAAGCTCACAACCATCAGAGTGGTGTTGAGTTTGGTAGTTGCAGAAGATCTCTTTCTTGAACAGTTAGATGTGAAGACTGCCTTTCTTCATGATGACTTGGATGAAAAAATCTACATGAAGCAGCTTGTTGGCTTCATTGTAGAAGGAAAGGAAGAAATGGTGTGCAAGCTCAAGAAGAGCTTATATGGCTTGAAACAGGCTCTGAGACAGTGGTATAAGAAGTTTGATAATTTCATGCAAAACAATGGCTACAGAAGATGCAATTCGGATCATTGCTGTTATTTCAAAAGGTTTGAGTCCAGCTTCATTATCTTATTATTATATGTTGATGACATGTTGGTAGCAGAACCATGTTTAGAAGATATAACCAGTTTGAAGAAGTAACTAGCAAAGGAATTTAAAATAAAGGATCTGAGTACAGCAAAGCAAATTCTAGGGATGCGGATCAGTAGGGGTGAAGCTGAAGGGACGTTAAGATTGAGCCAAGCGGAATACATTGAGAAGGTACTTCAGAGGTTCAATATGCAGGAGGCTAAAGTTGTTAGCACGCCCCTTGGAAGTCAGTTCAAGTTATCTGAGGAGCAATCATCTAAGACAGATGCAGATAGAGAGCATATGAGCAGGGTGCCATATTCTTCAGCCATTGGGAGTCTCATGTACGTGATGGTTTGCACGAGGCCGGACATCGCCCATGCAGTGGGAGTTATGAGCAGGTTTGCAAGAAATCCAGGGAAGCAGCATTGAGAGGTCGTGAAGTACATATTACGGTACTTGAGGGGAACAACGAACAAGTCACTATGTTTCAAGAGGAAGGAGTTGGTGTTGCAGGGATACGTGGATGCGGACTTTGCCGGTGATCATGATACCAGGAGAAGTACCACGGGGTATGTTTATACCTTAGCTTCGATAGCAGTGAGCTGGGTCTCACGTCTGCAGAAAATTATGACTTTGTTTACAACCGAGGCTGAGTATATCGCAGTGATTGAAGCAAGCAAGGAGATGATTTGGTTGAATGGGTGTTTAGAAGAGTTGAATCTGAAGCAAGGGGAGAGGAGTTCTTTATTGTGATAGCCAGAGCGCTATACATCTTACCAAGAATCTAGTATATCATACTAGAACGAAACATATCGACGTAAAATACCATTTTATACGCTCGCTAGTTGAAGACAGAAAGTTATATTTGATGAAGATTTTGGGGAGTCAAAATCCGGCGGACATGTTGATGAAGGCAGTCACCATTGAGAAACTGGAGTTGTGTGCAACTTCAGTTGGCCTTCACGAGTAGAAGACGAAGGCGGAGCCACACTACGAGGATCGGCAAGATTGCCGGGATATTGTTGATTGAAGAAATGATTTTCCGGGGAGGAGAAGATACATACGAAGAAGGGGAGAGTTCGGGTGAGCTCGCTGATGACACTTTGGTCT